CAAACTATGGTATAAATACTGCAACTTACGCCATTTTTCTGCTATACAGCGCTGCGCTAGTTTAACGGACAATTGCACGGTCATGCAAAAAGGTACATAAATGAAATTTACATCCTTTTTTTCCCAACAAATTGAACTTTCTTTTGGTGGTATTTGATTGCCTGTGCGGTTTTTTTTTTTTGTGCTATAAAAAAAAAGGCTGACAATTTTGAGGAAAAAAAAAACAATATTTTGGACTTTTTGCTATAAAACATGTCCAGTAAAAAAAATGCAAAAAAAATGCAAAAATTTCAAATTTGCGACATGTCATAAATTAATTGCCAAAATGCATTGGGATGGACAATGTCATCAGTGACGGCGATTATGGCAGCGACCAGCGACTTATGGCAGGACTGTGGGACTGCGGCGGACATTCTGACATTGGGAGGTACTGACTTGGGGTCACTGACATCCCCAAAAACTCTAATACAGTGATCAGTGCAAAAAGAAAAACACTGACACTGTACTAATGGCACTGAGGAGGAAGGGGTTAACTTTATTTTGCAGGGAAGGGTTATCTGAGTGAGGGGAGTGTTTTACTAGGCGGCGGGGGGGGTGTACTGGACGGGACAAGACTGATCCAGAGAGAGAAACTCTTCTGTCTCGATCAGCTCGTCCTCGAGCTGACAAGGAAGTGACAGACAGCACAGCTACTGCACTAAGGACTGGCTGTGACCCGACGACTGACATCCGCGGCGGTGATCGCCTCGCGCGCGCCCCCTGTTTACAAAACACACATTTTTAAAACATGGTTTTGCCTGCCAGTGCCGCCCTGCCACCGTATTTCTACAGTGGCAGGGCGGCAAGTGGTTAACCTACGTTTTCTAGCAGTCAGTATCCAGTGGTCAGAAGAGTTTTCCAAATGCCTTGTGTATACGAGCCCTAATGCATATAAATCTTGTGCATAAACACATCAATATCTCCAAACATGGTGATTGTGCCAAACCAGAATTGAAGTGTGAAACGTCCACTTATAAAGTGTATCCAAAAAAATATAATTATCTTCTAATAAAGTGCTACTGCTCATATAAAATGTAGTAAGTCCACAAAAAGTGCTTTTGCAGAACCTTGGTGTGATGGGGTAGATCTTCTCCTCTCATTGTATCATGCTCAGATGACAAGCTATATAACTTGCAGTGTCCTGCTTTCCCTGTGAGAACAGAAAGTGAAGTTAAAAATGAGACTGGTGGTTTTGACAGGGACAGTACTGGTTTCAAGCTCTTCATGTATTCATTTAATTGCCCCTGGGTATTGCTTACACAGACTTGGTCAATAAAATGCAGCTTTATTCATAGGAGCAGCTCTGGCAGTGCTTAGTTTGCTTACCATCTTTCTTTTCTTGTCCTGCAGCTAGTTTGGAGGTTGCTTCTATGTCAGGGTAGTGCAACAGAGACAGGTACTCAGCAGGGCTTATTATCCCTGAGGTCCTCTCTGATGCAGGGACTGACAGGAGCAGGATGCTGTGTCATGTATGATAGGGAAGGAATGATGTAATAAAAAACAGTTGCTGGCAACTCCAGATGTATAAAAATACACTGCTCAAAAAAATTAAAGGAACACTTTTTAATCAGAGTATAACATCAAGTCAATTAAACGCCTGAGATATTGATCTGGTCAGGTAAGTAGCAGAGAGGGTTGTTAATCAGTTTCAGCTGCATTGGTGTTAGTGAAATTAACAACAGGTGCACTAGATGGGCAACAATCAGACAAACCACAAAACAGGAATGGTTTTACAGGTGGAGGCAACTAACATTTTTTTTTCCTACTCATTTTTTCTGACTGTTTTTTTTCACTAGTTTTGCATTTTTGGCTGGGGTTTTTTTTTCGTGTCACTACTGGTAGCATACCTGTACCATACAGAGGTTACACAGGCAGTCCAACTCCTCCAGGATGGCACATCAATACGTGCCATTGCCAGAAGGTTTGCTGTATCTCCCAGTACAGTCTCAAGCGCATGGAGGAGATTCCAGGAGACAGGCAGTTACTCTAAGAGAGCTGGACAGGGTCGTAGAAGGTCCTTACCCATCAGCAGGACCGGTATCTGCTCCTTTGTGCAAGGAGGAACAGGATGAGCACTGCCAGAGCACTACAAAATGACCTCCAGCAGGTCACTGGTGTGAATGTCTCTGACCAAACAATCAGAAACAGACTTCATGAGGGTGGCCTCTAGTGGGCTCTGTGTTCACTGCCTGTCAGTGATGGACTGGGGAGGCATATCCATGGAGGGACACACAGACCTCTACAAGATAGACAATGGCATCCTGACTTCCATTAGGTATAAGGATGAAATCCTTGGACCCATTGTCAGACCCTACGCTGGTGCAGTGGGTTCCTGGGTTCCTCCTGGTGTATGATAATGCTTGGCTTCATGTGGTGAGAGTATACAGGCAGTTCCTGGAGGATGAAGGCATTTATATCATTGAATGGCCCCCACACTCGCCTGACCTAAATTCAATACAACACCTCTTGGATATCGTGTTTCAATCCATCCCATGCCACCAGGTTGTACCTCAGACTCTCCAGGAGCTCTGTGATGCCCTGGTCTAGATCTGGGAAGAAAAACCCCAAGACACCATCTTTTCTCATTAGGAGCATGCCCCGATGTTGTCAGGTATGCATACAAGCACGTGGGGGCCATACCAACTACTGAGTACCATTTTGAGTTTCTACATTAATATTTCAGCAAAATGGACTAGCTTGCTGGATCATTTTTTCACTTTGATTTTCAGGGTGTCTTTGAATTCAGTCCTCTGTAGGTTGATAATTTTTCATTTCCATCAAACGATGGGGCATCCTTACATTCCTAAACACATTACCCAGTCCATATCAGTATAGATATCCAGCATGATATTTTCCCTTATTGAAATCTGATGTGTTTTCAAAGTGTTCCTTTAATTTTTTTTGAGCAGTGTAAGTAGCTGTTGGGAGACATATTCTGTAATTTCAGGAGATAATATTGGATAAGCAGACTGGAATTTAAATGAAGAGCTGTGGGAAACAAAGTACTGGGCAAAAGTGATATTAAAGTTTTCTTTTTTTTTTTTTAATAACAAACATACCTGGTCTGTGCAATAGTTTTGCACAGAGCAGCCTCGATCCTCTTCTTCTCGGGTCCCTCGCCAGCGCTCCTGGCTCCCCCTTGACCAGTGTCCCCAATAGCAAGTTGCTTGCTATGGGGGCACTTGTGCATGCTTAGTCCTGAGCCCCATTCTATGGGCCAGTAGGACACATAGAGCTGCGGCTCTTCCCCACCCCCCTCTCCTCATTGGGCCATTGATCCAATGGCTCCCACTGCTGTGTATCAGCCAATGAGGAGAGAGAGACCTAGGACAGCTGATAGTCCCGTGCACATCACTGGATTGAGAGGGGGCCCAGGTAAGTATTAGGGGGGCTGTGAGGAGAGCAGCACACAGAAGGTTTTTTGCCTTCATGCATAATACATGAAGGTAAAAATCGTTCAGCCTTTCCAGCCACTTTAATGTATACTACTAACTAATATGCACTACTAACTAATATTCAAGTCAAAAAAATATTAGCTTCAAATACCCATTGTCTACTGCCATTTAGCATAGGTGTGCATATAAATGAATATAACTGCAACTTTTAAAAGTGGTCATTGATTCCACAGGTCCAAAGAGATATAGCAATGTGTGTGCAATTGCATTTCATCATTTTACAACAGGACAAGTGGCATGCCCAGCCCCTGTGTTATGATCTTTATTTTGTATTGGTAGTTCTTCACTCTCCTGTAGCATGGGGTGATGCAAAAGCAGGACAATTTTTTCCACAAAATACAGTTTATAAGCAATGCATGTGTTTAACTATAAAAATCCAGCTCGTTATATGGCTTGTTCTGTAGACATGTTACATTCTCTGAAACCTTTCAGTATATTCATTGTGCTCTACATGACATACACTCATCAGCCACTTTATTAGGTACATCTGTTCAATTGCTTGGTAACACAAATTACTAATCAGCCAATCACATGGCAGAAACTCAATGCATTTAGGCATCTAGATGTGGTGAAGATGACTTGCTGAAGTCCAAACCAAGCATCAGAATGGGGAAGAAAGGAGAATTAAATGACTTTGAATGTGGCATGGATTTTGCTGCCAGACGGGCTGGTCTGAATATTTCAAAAACTGCTGATCTACTGGGATTTTTCACGCACAACCATCTCTAGGGTTTACAGAGAATGGTTCGAAAAAGAGAAAATATCCAGTGTGCGGCAGTTGTGTGGAAGAAAACACCTTGTTGAGGTCAAAGGAGAATGGGCAGACTGGTTTGAGATGATAGAAAGGCAACAGTAACTCATGTAAATATGGACCAATATCTCTGAGGAATGTTTACAACACCTTTTTAAGCTATGATACGAAGAATTAAGGCAGTTCTGAAGGCAAAAGGGGGTCCAACCTGGAACTAGCAAGGTGTACCTAATAAAGTGGCCAGTGAGTGTACTTCAGGACTTCTCACTTAGTAAGTTGTTCTGTGTGTGACATACTCCAGAAAACACTCCATGCACTGTGCTATACATAACATTCTTGTGATTGCCCCACATCATGCATTCCCTGTACATGAAATATTATAGACCCATCCCACAAATTGTGCTGTACCTAATGTTCTGCAGTATATTCCACTCTGTGCACTGTGCAGAACATGACATATTCCCAACCTGGATTCCATGCACGTTTCTTGACCTTTCTAGAATTCACTTTCATATGCAAGAAAATTACAGGGTTATCATGTCGTATGTCCAATAATGGCCTAAAAATGAAGCACCCTCATAGATAGCTTGGGGGAGCTAAATTTTCAATTGTTAGACAGAGGCTGTGTAGCAGCCTGTGTAATAGTCATAGGGAGGTCAAATTCAGGTCAGAGCTGAGAGGCCCTGCGGACCAGCTCTCTGAAACTCCCCCCTGCTCTGGAACTTTGGAGAAAGTTGTAGAAGCAGTGGGCACAGGTAAGGAGTGGCTGATCTGCACTTTTGAGAGATCCTGGCCAATCCCCAACAGGAAGCTTGCCTTGGGGCCAAGATAGCTCTTAAAAATGAGAGAGCCTGCTCAGCAGCACAAGAGTGCGGGTGGAAGATAGAGAGGAAGTGAGAGGCTGGAGAGCAGGAGCCTGGAAAGTGGCCCAGATGGGAAGGGGTTCACATACAGGCAGAGGATTTTGGAGGGAGGAAAGCTCAGGATTTCACTGACCACCAGAGTGAGTACCACCTGTCCAGCTGGGAAGGAGCAACCCAGCTAGAAGGCCTGGTAGCAGCCACCAACCCAGCATCAGCACAGGAGAAGGACTGAGTGATTAGACCTGCACCCCCTAGGCCAGCAAAGGGAAAGAGTCACTTTAGTGGGAAACTGGATCAGCTTTCTTACCAGGGACTGTTTAACACTGCAGTGGCAGGCACTGGATCCCCTGCCCAGGGATTCACCCAGTACAGCTGGATGAGGAGAGGATTCATCTAGGATCTGGGATGGTGCAACAGGAGATGCTGGCTAGCTCTCCAGAAGAGTTCCTGTTGTGTAAAGACTTGTACATAGTTGCTAAGAAGTTTGTCCTCTGTTACCTTTATCCTTGGGCATCCCATACACCCCTTACCCAATCCAAGTTCAATATCCTAATAAAACTTCAAAACAAAGCTCAAGGACTAGCCACTGTGTCCTGGATGCAAGCCTGAATAAAGGAAATGTGTGTTGCCTGGCTGTGCAGGCCTATAGGGGGACCCAAAACTTCAGCAACTCCTAAGAGGGTAGCGCTACAGAAAAAATGCATGGTGCTTCAGCAAATACAGAGGAATGGCAGCAGAAAAGTATCAACTCTCGCTAGAGTCTTTTTTAAAACACCACCATATACCAGTTAACAGTAACTGGAACAATTTTTAACAATATGGGACTATAAAGGTGCTTAATAAAGTTCCATATAAGGTCTCCATATACCAGCTAAATTTTGTTATTTGTCCAATGTATTGTGTATTGAATGGAGAGATGTGGCCATACACACTCCAGCTCATGAATATGTGGAGTAATTGCACAACAAATTGTTTTGTTTTACCACTTCCATGCCTGTTGCAGTTCTGAAGGTGAACAATACCTGGACTCTTGTTCCTTTTTTTTTTTTGCACATTATGATTGAATAGCAGTGAATTTCATTGCTTTTATTCAAATTCAGAGCATTTTTTTTATTTTTCACATACATGTAAAAAGCTTAATTTTTGGCAATAAAATTACTTAAACCATCAAAACATTATAGATTTTCCGAAAACAGAGGCCCTGTAGAATAAAAAGGAGATAGTTGTCAATTTTTATTTCACATGATATTTGCACAACTGTTTATTAAAAATAATTTTTTAGGATAAAATAAATCAAAATTTAGCGCAAAAACACAATATAATACCCATTTATAGTTAAAATAAAAAAGATGAGGTTGCATTGAGTAAATAGATACCAAACATTGCATGTCTTAAAATTGTGTGTGCCCGCGACATTGCCAAAAGCTATAGTGCCCAAAAATCATAGGTGATGCTTTAAAAGCCCTTATAGCTCATCAGTTTAGAGTTAACTAGGAGCTCTTGTACTAGAATTATTGTTCTCACTCTGACATTTGTGGTGTTATGTCACACGTGTGTTGCCACTACAGTTTACATATCCCATGCACACCCTGGGCTTGCGTTTGCTTAGGTGTATGAGGCAACAGGGGCTACGGCAATTTTTTTTTATATTTAAATATATTTTATTACTATTTTATTTTTTTTAAACTTTTTCTTGTATTTTTCTATTTATTTCTAATTGGTTGCTATCACAAGTGGTTAATAAAACCCTATGTGATAGCATTGGGCAAGTGACAGGTACTCTTTAGAGAGACAGTAGGGGTCTAATACCAAGCATAGATTGGCTTGGTTAGGTATATTCCCTGGCTGTACTTGCCAGGAAAGGGTGCATCTGAAACTAGAAGTGACATGTTTCAGTGTTTGCACGTGCGATCAAGGCATGGATTTGCCTCAGTCTCACAGCGCTCTCTCTCCCATAGCCACCCCTTTGATACGACCGAAAAAGGAAATGGCAGGACCTGTTGGGAAATGCTCATTTAACTTCATCCAATGAACATCTAACCAGACTGGAGCGAGCCATAGCACAGTCTTTGCTTGACCAATTGGACTGAATTGCTAAAACCAAGAACTTTGCAAGTATTCTTCATTTTCAACTCCTTCTTAATTCTCTGTTACTTTATCGTTTTCTTCATTTCTTTGTAACACCTTTTTTTCTGGAAATATTTTATTTGCACCATTTTGACTGTTTCATTATTAAAAACCCTATTTTGAAAAGTGTTAAAACTGTCCCTAAGGCTTTTAATACAAACAAAAGAATCCCTGTCTCTTGAAGAGTGCTACTGTATATAATAATCCTCTGAATATACCTGTCTGTGGTGACAGTGTGTGTTACAGACGATTAGTCTAAAATCATAGTTGTCATTGCTAAGACTATGAGTTCCTCTTCTCCGTAAAAGAGGGTGGTGGTAGCTTAAATACCACCTGGCACATACAGTGGGGCAAAAAAGTATTTAGTCAGCCACCAATTGTGCAAGTTCTCCCACTTAAAAAGATGAGAGAGGCCTGTAATTGGCATCATAGGTAGACCTCAACTATGAGAGACAAAATGAGAAAAAAAAAATCCAGACAATCAAGTTGGCTGATTTGGAAAGAATTTATTTGCAAATTATGGTGGAAAATAAGTATTTGGTCACCTAAAAACAGGCAAGATTTCTGGCTCTCACAGACCTGTACCTTCTTCTTTAAGAGGCTCCTCTGTCCTGCACTCATTACCTGTATCAATGGCACCTGTTTGAACTTGTTATCAGTATAAAAGACACCTGTCCACAACCTCAAACAGTCACACTCCAAACTCTACTATGGTGAAGACCACAGAGCTGTCGAAGGACACCAGAAACAAAATTGTAGACCTGCACCAGGCTGGGAAGACTGAATCTGCAATAGGCAAGCAGCTTGGTGTGAACAAATCAACTGTGGGAGCAATAATTAGAAAATGGAAGACATACAAGACCACTGATAATCTCCCTCGATCTGGGGCTCCATGCAAGATCTCACCCCGTGGGGTCAAAATGATCACAAGAAGGGTGAGCAAAAATCCCAGGACCACACGGGGGGACCTAGTGAATGACCTGCAGAGAGCTGGGACCAACGTAACAAAGGCTACCATCAGTAACACACTACGCCGTATTTTTAAGTGGGAGAACGTGCAGAATTGGTGGCTGACTAAATACTTTTTTGCCCCACTGTATACTGTGGTCCCGCATGCTAGAAAATCTTTGTGTAGGGTGCAGCTTAGAGTGGCATTGTTATGCAAGTGAAAGCGCAGTGTGAGACTAGCCAGTCCTTTGTCACGAGTTTGTGAGAAGGGCAGGGGCCCAGCACCATATACATCACATCTGCCTGTATCCCCTGCTAGCCCTATAAACCCCTGTCATGCCGACCTTCTGTCTCTTCTTTCTTTTTTCTTGTACTCTGGGCCTAACTCTCTTTTCAGTTTGTAGAACTTGATATACAGTGCTTTTGGCTGATATACTCATACCCACCACTGAAAATACACAAAGTACCTTAGTAGTTTACATTTGTGTACTACATACAAATATATCTCACCATGTACTGCCAAAATAGCTTAACTGCCAGGCTATTCTTTTGTTACAGAGTTCTCTATCCCATTGCTCACAATTCTCATGAAATTAAAGGTTACTAGAATCCAATTCAAAATAAACCCACACATAAAAGAGAAACTGAATGAGACTACAAAAATAATATATTGCAGAGCTTGAAATGACATTTAAATGTGTGAATGTACAAAGTTCAAATGATTCTGGGCAAATGTAATAGGCAAAACTACTTATTTGTACTTTAATTCTATCTTTTATCAATCTGAAAGAAAAGTGTTAAGAAATAAATGTGCAAAGGATACATCTTTTAAAGTGGAACTTCACTCTCTCAGTTAACCTTGACTATATTAAATCCTTATGCTGCCAGCATTAGTAAATAGATAGGAAAATATATCATATTTACTTGTTTTAAACAGTTTTTTACATTTCTTAAAGTGTTACTAAACCCGCAACAGTAAAATCAGTCTGTATATGCAGTAAAGCATGCTTGTTATGCTCATTGTGGAACCTAAGGGGTTAATCCTCTCTAAAGTGTAAAAAGGTTGTTTGATCCTGTTTCCTCTGCCCCTCCTCTTGTTCAGATGTCCACCTAATAAGACAGACTGAACCCGTAGCCACATGCACATGCTCATTTTAGTGTCTAATGCTATAGAGAGGTTTTTTTTTTTTTTCTTGGGAGAGTGCATGTGATCAGCACAGGGCCACTCAGCACTGTCCAGATAGAGGGTCAGGGGGTTTCACATCCTCCTAGAAGAGAAAGAAAACTCCTCCTACAAGCTTAAACAAGTGCTCTGCTGAAGTCACAAGACTGCTCTAATTGCTGATGAGAAAAGGTATTTAGCAATTTATATTTTCTAAAATAATTGCACTTCCATGTTCTGTGTACTGTGGGAGACCAGATATAGTGAATGCAGGCTCCTGGGTTTAGTAACACTTTAAGTTACTTCCTAGTTCCCATGCCTAGGCAAATAATATCATACATCCCAGGGGTCTTCAGGAGGGGAGGAGGGGTTTACTCAGCTATGCACACCCTCTTGCTTGTGTGCCTGAGCTACGGGCAGATGGATTCCAGGAAGTAACTGCTACATGAATCATCTGCCCTTACTCGAGATGGCCAAGACCAGAAATGCTAGTGGGTATTTTTCTAAGTGATTTCTCAGCAAAATAAGGTACAGAGATATGGGTGGATGGGGGAGTTTGCTTTAAATATTAACCACAAGCAAGGCACGCGTGCCCTACCCGCACAGACATTTGCAGCCACGGCTGTTAAAATCATTAGGTCCTGGCCGGTGATTACTAACCAGAGCCCAGTGATTGCCAAGGCTCTCTGACGGGGGGGAGAACTGTTAGTAAACAAAAC